GGCGGAAGTTGACAGGGCACCAGTGTAGAACGTAAGGGGTATTGTATATTTCTACTTGCTTTTCGGGTATCATTTGAACTCTTCCTTGAGACGAATGTGCCCAGGCAACCTCCCTAGCCTGCTTCAGAGACCAGAGGGGCAAACCTGAACTCAACATCCAGCCTTGGGCGGAACTGCTCAAGGGGACCCATGAACTTGTAAGCGAGAAATAACTGCTTACTGCTGTGTGCCACTGCGATTTGTGATGGTTGTCAGGCCACAAAAGCTGTTAATACAAGGGTTCCTAGAAGCCCTTCAATAAACATAATTAGCATTGTTCAACGTTTAACCTCCCCCAAGTCATTTGATGAGATGCCCTTATTTACTCCCTAGAAAGCACAACGGGAAATAGTAATGCAAACAAACCACTTGGTGGTGATTATACGCTACAAGCATTAGGATTTTTTAAAAAGACTTTAAATTGATTTTTACAGAGAGAGGAACAGAGAGGGGGAGAGAGAAACATCGATGTGAGAGAAAAACATTGATCGGCTGCCTCCTGCACTCCCCTCCCCCCCGCCCCGCCCCCAGGATCGAGTGGCAACCCAGGCATGTTGGGAATCAAACTGGCAACCAGCCAGGGCTAAAAGTATTAGTATTTAATTTTGAAAAGAGGCATTTCTTGCCATAGGATTCATTACTTAATCCATAGAATCATTCACTTTTTAAATTTCTAGGAAGTATACCAAAAAGCCTTCCTAAGATGTATCGTGTTATTATTCACTAGAGGCCCAATGCATGAAATTCATGCAAGAGCCTTGGCCCCCCACCTCCATGGCTTTGTCCAGAAGGATGACCAGTCTAATTAGCATATTATGCTTTTATTATTATAGATTACTAGAACCCAGTGCACTGAGCTTCTAGTAGGGTTCCTAGCAGCTGCCAGCCACAGGCGGGGGCCTCCCTTCCTTCCCCTGGCTGGCCCCGCCCCCTGGTCGAACTCCCAGACAACTCCTGGTTGAGGGGACAATTTGCATATTATGCTTTTATTACACAGGATACCTACTACTTCTTCTCTTGAGGTTGTCAACTTAATCTGATATACTTAGAAAGGTGGTTTTTTTTAAGGGAAAATTGAAACATTATTTGTTTCAACACACTTTTGCCTCTCTCTCTACACACACCACACCACACACAACTATAACATTAATCTTACACACCGTAAATATTTTTTCCAACAAAACCTTGGAACTGCTGATTAGCACTTTTGTTTTATGGAAAATTTACACCATATGTATAACCTAATTGGCAATATTAGGCCTCACTGTCATCCCAATCAGCCAAGTTAGACTTAATTTCTGTTAAAAAGAGATTGGCTTAAAAAAAAAAAAGTTATAGGATTTGTAATATGCATTCCTGGGACATCTTTCTTTTACATGACTTTATTTTTTTAGAAATTTATCTTTGTTGAAAGTATTACAGACGTCCCCCTCTTTTCCCCTACTGACCCCCTCAACCCTACAGTCAATCCCCTGGGACATATTTCTTTCTGAGTCGTAACTTAAAGACTGACAGATAAGGCACAGAGCCTTGCGATGAATGTGATGCTTGAATGAAATAGGATGCCGTCACTTTCAATATTTCCTATCGATCCTCTCTTTGCTTGGCCCCAAGGGGCCTTCCCTCAGGGAGGACATTAGTCTGAGACTGGAGAGATGTGGGCATTACATGAAAAGTGTCACTTCCGGAGAAATTGGAAGTGAGAGCTTCCCTTGCTTCTGCCACCATTCTTCATCCTTGACAAAATCATGGCAGGACGTTGATAGACATGAATATCTACCGTGGGGTCCTGGTACCCAGACACTTAGGTTTTTAACTGTTCTTTTGTCTAGTACCTACAGGTTTTACGATACCAGAGGGTCACCCCCAATAAAATTAAAGATGGTCAGCCTTGCTGGCGTGGCTCAGAGGTTAAGCGTCGACCTATGAACCAGGAGGTCAGGGTTCAGTTCCCGGTCCGGGCACATGCTTGGATTGTGGGCTTGATCTCCAGAAGGGGGCATGCAGGAGGCAGCCAATCAATGATTCTCTTTCATCATTGATGTTTCTATCTTTCTATCCCTCTCCCTTCTTCTCTGAAATCAATAAAAATATATATTTTTTAAAAAGATGGTTAGACTAAGACACGTATTTCTTCTGCAAAGTGGGAGAAGGGCCATTTGAAAGGGGAGGTGGGAAGGGCGGACCGGCCTGCCATCAGTCACAGCCACATTTTCAGGGCAGATGGGTCTTAGGAAAGAGTCTGGGAACAAATTCCCCAAAACCATCCGTGCCCAGGGGCCCCTTGAAAATCTTGTAGCCCCAAGGAAAGGCATATTCCAGACAGAAATATTCTATTAAATTACAATCATATCCTAAAAAATTGTTAAGACAAAGAGCTGTTTTTCTCATTTTTCTTAACCAAAACATTATAATTTTACTTTAAAAAGGAGAAGCGTCTCTAAGGGTTTTTTTAAAAGATAATTTATTGTTAAATGAAGAAGTCACAAAGCGAAATGGAGGGGGACAGAGGTCAAAGATAAATTTAAAAAACAGCTTCTGTCCAATGCTGCCCTGGGCTTCCTAAGGTTAGAAACAGGAAAGCGTCCAATGGCCAGGCCATCGCTCTTTCTTAAAAGGTCATGAAAATAAAACGACTTCTTTTCTGAAAACACCAATCATCCTTCTTACATGAAAGCCATCACTCAAGAGCCTGAGGAAAAAGACGTTGATTCGTAAGGAAACGGTGTCTCCCAGGTGCACGCAGGAATGTTTGGTTTTAATGAGTGAGTTTTAGGAAGCGCTGCTTCCGCCTTGCAAACCAACAGGAACCCACCATCCACCGGCGTCATTCATCCGCCCGAGTGTCCCACTGCGTCTTCTCGTGATTGCTTTTCTGCTACGTCCAGCCAAGCAGGTTTGAAGGGAAAGGATTAGGAAGAACTCAAGTCGGTTCCCTAGTGAATAACTTAAAAGAAAACCTGCTTGTCCATTTGCATTACACATTCACAACCGCTCACTCCTACTTACTTTCCGGATATCATTCCGATTCTCTCCCCACCTAGAATGACTTGCCTGAACTTAACCCAATGCCCCTAAAACGAAATCCCACGTGGACATCTCGGCACGGGGCTGTGCCTACGGCCCCGCTCTCCAGCCCGTCTCTCCTGACGGGCTGCCCACGACGGCGTCCTGAGCTCACTCAAGTTGTCCTCATGGGGCTGGAGCAAAGCCTTGGGAATTCTCTTAACATAATTTAAAAATCACATTGATCATGTGTCTTACATGATAAGACTATGGAATTGGAGTGAAAAATCCACGTTTCTCATAAATGCCATGCCATTTGCTTTTCCAAACACAGGAAGCATTTGTTGCTCGGCGTGACTAAGGAGACTGTAGGGTCCCAGAGGGGACACCCCCCTCCCCTGACCCCATCTTGGCAAACTCAAGAAGGTCCCGCCCCCTGCAGGCTCCACAGGCGAGGGGGCGCGGGATGCTTGCAACCAGCTAGGAGCACCACCGACCACACATGGTTAAGCATGAAGAGGACACCAGACAATCTGGCTCAATAGGCCGCCCAGGACTTTAAATGGGTGTGATCACCATCTCACTGCTCACACCTGCTCTCCTCAGAACAGAAGTCCCTGCTGTGGCTCCAGGTGCCCACACAGCTATCAATTCTGCTTGCAGGGCCGGTGGACAAAGCCCTCAGCAGAGACAGCGGGAGCCCAAGCTAACAGAGCTCTGTAACCCTCAGGCACCTGACAATTTGGATGTAGTCAGAGGAAATAGTCAGGGTTTGTTCTTTCCAGCACCGGGAGAGAAAAAGCCATCTGCCACTTTCTTCACTCAGAAACCTCAGGGATTGGCAGGAAGAAGTAAGGGTTGGGTGAGGCAGGGCGGGCAGGGGTGAAGGCAGAGGCAACCTGGCCCCCTGCACCCTCCTGGCCCAGCCACCGCCCCTGCTTCTGAGGCCAATTCAGCTGAATTCACGAAGTTTCTTCAGTTCACACTCAGTGCTGTGTCCCTTACACTAAAATGAACACTTAAGGGAATGGAACCGTCACAACAGCACTCAGGCCCAGGTTTTGGAGTTGGACTTGGGGCATCAGGCCCTACTTTGACTTCACCTTTTGCTTCACAGGAGGTGGGGGCGGGGGGGGGGGGGTCCTTGCTTTCGGCTTAGACCTAAGGCACTGGCAGAATTCCTCTGCAATGTGGACACAGTGGAGACCTAGAGCAGCTGACCCAGGGGCCCGGGGCGGGGGGGCACCCATCCTGATGGACCAGATCACCAGAAACATACACATCTGCCCCCAGGTGGGGCCAGGTCCTGGGTGAAGCCCCCTGGTGGAGTCCCCAAAAGCGTTTCTCCTAAGCACTCTTTTCAAATGCCGCTTCTCTCTGCTATGCTTTGCCTTGTGAAAAAACAGGGAAGTATTTGGGAGCCCCAAATACACAAGCCTGTGGCGACGTCACCAGATGCCAAGGGTGCGAGGCGCTTTGCCAGGGCCTGGGCTCAGGAGTGAGCAGAGGGACCGGGGCGAAGCCCCTGCCAACAGACTCCGCCATCGTCCACCTGGCCCAGCGGAGAGGTGAACACAGGACGAGCCTTCCCTTTCTTTTAAAAATGTTAATTCTTATTCTGCGGTTTGGGGCTTTTTGATGTCGTGAAAAAGACTGAGAGAATCCCAGGCTTTGGGGTTAGCAGGAAAGAGAAGTGGGAATGGAAAGAGAAAATGGCATGGACTCGGCTCTGCACAGATTGGGCCACATGGGCGTCCCAGGCCCAGCTGGGGCTGAAACCCCTCCACACTCGCTGCTTCCATCGGAGGCCTTCTCCTCCTCTTTCTCAGACCCACAGTCCCCCGGAGAGGCGCGCCCCTCCCTGGTTCACACCGTCGCTCTAGTTGTCTCTCTATTTTCTCATCAGATTGAGACTCTGGGGGAAAGTGCGCAGCAGCAAACTAGAAAGACACCCCTTTTCAAAACAAAGCATTTTAAAAAACCAAATTCTCTCGATCACTCTGAGATGCCGTGACATTTTTTTCTTCCCCAGGCCGGGCTTAGAGGTGTCTCTAGGTTAGATTCCTGGGGGCACGAGTGAGACTGGAGGGCAGCGGGGCGCGGAGACCAGGGCGGTGACCAGGGCGGAGGAGGAGCTGGCCCGCCCGGCAGCCTGCTGAGTCAGCACTCGTCCGAGAGGTAATCCCCGCCGCCCGGGAACTCGGAGGCCTCGAGCTCCACGCTGGACAGGAACCGCCTCAGCGTCTTGCGGCAGTTGTAATCCAGGGTGGTGGTGTAGACGGTCTTGGGGCACTTGGGGTAGACGATGGTGGTGCTGAGGAAGCGGGTGGCCTTGTGGCGGGGCTCGAAGCGCAGCTCGGCCTTGTAGCTGCGCCACGTGCAGTTGGGGATGCAGGTGACCGTCTGGCTGCAGGAGGCCACGGCCAGGCCCAGGGGCAGGCGGACGTCATCGATGAAGTGCCGGTCTGAGTCGTACTTGACCGAGGAGGTGTACCTGGGCGGGAGACGGAAGGCAGCACGGTGAGCCCTCTGAGCTAGGGGCACTGGAGTCCCCGCTGTGACCGTGAACCTCCCGCGGGTGCACACCTTCAGATGTGGCTGCTCTAGCCAGAAGCATCAGAGTTAGTGAAGCACTTACTGTGCGGTACTATGGGAAGCACTCTACGTCCAGGGTCTAATTTAATCGTCCCAGCAGCCCTGGGAGAGGAAATGGATGTGCAGAGGTCAAGGTTGCCGTGTGTCAAGCAGCAAGGATGGACCGGCTCCCGGCACAAAGTCAGAGTGGGAGGAAGCAGTGGGGGCTGGGGTTTAAATGCAGGCGCAAGATTCCAGAGTTTACCGGACACTCACTGCTTCTTGCTGTAGGCAGTGTCCCCTTACTTAAGCCATGAGAGCTCGGTCAAGTTACTGACCTGAACTTTTCCAAGGCTCAGTTACCTTTTTTCTGTACAAAGTGTCCAATAAGAACTGGGCAGAAAGTTAACACAGCAAGTGCTGCAGGTGGTAATCTATATATATAAAAGCCTAAGCAACCTTTACCACAGAACAACCGGAACGACCAGTAGCTATGACCCGCAGTGAGCAGGCAGGCAGGCCAGCGGGTAGGAGTGAGCAAGCAGGCAAGCGAGCGGGTAGGAGTGAGCAGGCAGGCAGGCAAGCGGGTAGGAGTGAGCAGGCAGGCAGGCAAGCGGGTAGGAGTGAGCAGGCAGGCAGGCGAGCGGGTAGGAGTGAGCAGGCAGGCAGGCGAGCGGGTAGGAGTGAGCAGGCAGGCAGTCGAGCGGGTAGGAGTGAGCAGGCAGGCAGGCGAGCGGGTAGGAGTGAGCAGGCAGGCAGGCGAGCGGGTAGGAGTGAGCAGGCAGGCAGGCGAGCGGGTAGGAGTGAGCAGGCAGGCAGGCGAGCGGGTAGGAGTGAGCAGGCAGGCAGGCAAGCGGGTAGGAGTGAGCAGGCAGGCAGGCAAGCGGGTAGGAGTGAGCAGGCAGGCAGGCAAGCGGGTAGGAGTGAGCAGGCAGGCAAGCCAGCAGGTAGGAGTGAGCAGGCAGGCAGGCAAGCGGGTAGGAGTGAGCAGGCAGGCAAGCGAGCGGGTAGGAGTGAGCAGGCAGGCAGGCAAGCGGGTAGGAGTGAGCAAGCAGGCAAGCCAGCAGGTAGGAGTGAGCAGGCAGGCAGGCAAGCGGGTAGGAGTGAGCAAGCAGGCAAGCGAGCGGGTAGGAGTGAGCAGGCAGGCAGGCAAGCGGGTAGGAGTGAGCAGGCAGGCAGGCAAGCGGGTAGGAGTGAGCAGGCAGGCAGGCAAGCGGGTAGGAGTGAGCAAGCAGGCAAGCCAGCTGGTAGGAGTGAGCAGGCAGGCAGGCAAGCGGGTAGGAGTGAGCAAGCAGGCAAGCGAGCGGGTAGGAGTGAGCAGGCAGGCAGGCAAGCGGGTAGGAGTGAGCAGGCAGGCAAGCCAGCAGGTAGGAGTGAGCAGGCAGGCAGGCAAGCGGGTAGGAGTGAGCAAGCAGGCAAGCGAGCGGGTAGGAGTGAGCAGGCAGGCAGGCAAGCGGGTAGGAGTGAGCAAGCAGGCAAGCCAGCAGGTAGGAGTGAGCAGGCAGGCAGGCAAGCGGGTAGGAGTGAGCAGGCAGGCAAGCGAGCGGGTAGGAGCGAGCGGTCCCGGATTGCAAGAGGGGTGTCCGACTGCCGGATGTCCGACTGCAGGGATCGGGCCTAAACTGGCTGTCAGACATCCCCTGAGGGGTCCCAGATTGCAAGAGGTTGTAAGCTGGGCTGAGGGACGACCCCCCACACCCGTGCATGAATTTCATGCACTGGGCCTCTAGTTACTATATAACAACGCGAGTTCTACTGCTACACCACGGTGAACAGTTTTGCTACCCCCTAAAGTGATCAATTAGCTCTTTAAAGAGAGGATGAAGGAACCCAGAAATCTTAGATGCTGCTTTTGAATGCTTGGTGATACTAGTACCTGTGCCCTTTGGCCTTCAAGCTGGCCAATTACAATCAAAGCCAATTACAATAGTTTTTTTTTAAAAAATATGTTTTTATTGATTTTATTTTAGAGAGCGAGGAAGGGAAAAGGAAAGAGAGAGGAACATCGATCAGTTGCCTCCCACACATATCTGACCAGGGATCGAACCTGAAACCTGAGTATGTGCCCTGACCAGGAATCGAACCTGTGAACTTTCGTTACATGGGGTGACGCTCAACCAACTGAGCATCGGCCAGGGCACCCATTACAATCTTGATTGCCATAAAATAAACAAACATCAATATTCCTCAGCAGCTACTTTATTTTTTCTTAAGTCTTTCTTTGGTAATTCGGGAGGTAAATCTTTTTTAATATAAGCGAAGCATGAGTTCATTTTCCTGTAGAATTTATTACAGCTTCATATGTACTGAAATATACATGAGCATCACACACAGACACATCTAACAGCATTTTGCGCCCCCTCCTTCGCCCTGTGTCAGGGAGTAAGAATCAGCATTCTTCCCGGTGAGCGGGAGGGACACGCCCATTCTCCCCGGGCGAGTAGGTAAGAGGCTGGTGAAAGCTAATGTCATGAAGTCATGTCCTCATTTTGTTCAAAATACAAGCTCTGCAGGAATAAAGGGCTGAACTGCTCACCTCCAAAGAGGTGAGCCTCCTTTGTTCCACGTCAAAGGGCCCTTTGTGTTAAGGCAACTGAAACTCTAGCTATAAAACCACTGGTTCCCAAAAGTAAAATTCCTTTCTCTAAAAAGACAGATCTTGAACAGAGCCTCTCAGTGAATCTGCCCCCAGATAATCCTGGATGATATAAAGTCCCAAAGGGAGGGTGGTGCTGTCCCAGTGAAATTATAACCTAAAACAGGGCGACAGCACCTTGAAGCAGGGTTGGGAGGTGGGGGAGGGGGGGGGAGTGGGGACCTGGAAAGAGGAACTAGTTTATTAGAAAATTTTAAACCTCTGATGGCCATGACATATGAGGTTCAAAAAGCAAGTTGCAGGACTTTATGTGTAACATGATCGTGTTTTTACTTTAAAAAGTGTGTCCATATATTTAACTCGTTAGAATGCAGAAAGAGTGGCCACCAAACTATGACTAGTCTTTGTTTTTGTTTTTTAAAGAGAGGAAGGGGGGAGGGAGGGAGGGAGGGGGTGGAGAGAAACATCGATATAAGAAGGGCGCACAGATCGGCTGCCTCCTGCACATGCCCTGACCAGAGATGGAACCTGCAACCTGGGTATGTGCCCTGGCCAGGAATTGAACCCACCACCTCTAGGTGTACAGGGCCATGTTCCAACCAACTGAGCCACATGGGCCAGGACTGATTAACTAATTTTTTTAAAAAATAATCATTAATTTCTGGAATAAAAAGTGAAAAATTTAACAATGAAATGAACTCGGCACCTGCTATATTTACCTTACTTCCGTCGGTGGTAAAGGGTCAAACTCCACTCCTTCGCCGAAGGACAGGGGGCAGAGCCTCGGTGTGCAGGCGGAGGCCGGAGGGGTGGGGAGCGAGGCCGGACTCTGGGAGGATGGAGAACACAGTCAGACCACAGGCCAGGCTGATACACCCCCACAGCCGGTCCTGACTCTGAGCCTGCAGCTGAGGGCCCAGCTGTGCCTGTGTCCCCCGTCCTGGGAATGATGCCAGAGAAGGTCTGACTCAGCATGGAAAGAGCAATGGACATTTCAGATTTTTTTCCCTGCCAAGGGAGCCCAGAGGTCTGGGTTCGAGTCCCAGGTCTACCAGGAATGGCTGTGTGCCCGCACACGAGTCACATCACACGCCCTCTGAGACCTTATCTGCACACTACGGGGTGCCCCCTTCCACGCTGAGGTTCCGTGAAAGGCTGAAAAGAGGAACAGACCAGGAGCTGCCGCGCCATCCCACAGCAAGGCGGTCAGGAAACCTCGGTCAACTGAGGCTCCGCTAACCAGAACCCTCAATTATGTGCCCCCAAACCTGTCATTGTCTCGGCAACACTTTAGAAAAGGCCAAAACAAAATCCTCCTACCAGGGGTTGTTTGCCCTGCAGATTCAGTACCACGTCCTCCACCTCCCTGCCCTGGGAGAGCCACACCCCACCAGATGGAGGACCTGCGCCCTCCCTGGCCGATGAACACCCCAAAGTTCTCTCTGTCACTGTCCACTCTCCAGACACTCAGAGAGCCAGAGCAAGCATGCCCGGAGGGTCCTGGCTTCCCGTCTGGTCAGAGCTTCAGACTTTCTGACTCATCGAGCAGCCTAGGAAGACAGTTCCATCCTAGACACAGGTGCCCGTCGCCACCGGACTTGACCGGGGCCCGTGTTACCTGGGCAGCAGAGGGCAGCCCTTTGGGTTCCCGGGCTTACCGGAGAATCTGTCATTGTCTTTGCCTAATTTGAGAGAAGGATCCACACTGGCGGGGGTGTGGAGGTGGCAGCCCCACCCCCACATCTTCTAGGGCAGAGAAGGAAGCAGACACGTCTAGAAGGTTGGCTCTAAGACACTGATCGCGTTACCAGGACAAGGTGTCACTGGACGTGTAGGTTGGAAATACAAAAGCCCAAGGGGTCAGGATAGGTCAGGGGGCGGGGCAGGCACCTGAACGTGGGTGGGAGTTTAACGACCCCGCTGGGGCAGGAACCAAGTGGGTGGGGGGAGGGGGGCATTGGCTGCTGCAGAGCTTTTGGATCCAGCCCCCAAGTCCTGACAGTGGGCCCTGCTCTGCCCCCAGCTCTCTGGCTGGCAGACATTCCCCAACCTCAGCGGCACCTTCCAGACAGTCCTGGGCTGCAGGACGACACAGCCACAGGAGCGGGCAGGTGACGCTCCAACACACGCACAGCCTGCTCTCAGCACTCAGTTTCCTTCCTCTGCCTTCTCTGCTCCCTCACCCCTGCCCACCCAACTCGCTGAGCACACACACCTTGCTCCAGGTGCAGGCTGGGGGGGGCCAGGGCAGCGAGGTTATAACAAACATATGGACAAGGTGCCACCAGGGGCCGGGGACTAAGCCACACACTCCAGCACGAATCTGGGAAGCACCAAGGAAGACTTCCCAGAGGAGGTGACGAGTTGGGCATTGAAGGGGTGCCAGCAGGACTTTGAGGGGTGGAAAAGCTGACCGGGTGCTGAGAGCAGAAGAGGATGGACTTGGAGAGCAAGGCAAGCCAAGTGGAGGGAGCAGCAGCAGAAGCGCGGGCTGAGGGGACGATGAGGCTAGGAGGGGCCAGGTCTCAGGGCTTCCGAAGGCCACGCTGAAGCTGTTGCTGGCTTCGTATGGAGACCAGAGAATGCACTGGCGTCCACGGAGAGACAGGGTCCGCGGTCGCTGATGCCATGCACTATCTAAGTGTGTGGCTACCACCCCAGGGGGTGTGGGGGGGGGGAGGGCTGGGGTGAGAGCCACTCTGAGCTTTGCCTGCAGGAGGATGTGGCCTCCCTGAGCCCTAGGAAAAGGCAATAAACACCACCACATGAGCGATTGCTGGGGCAAGAGAGACTCCGTGTTTTTCTTTCAATAAAAAAATTAAAAGAAAATAAAAGGACTCATTTTTTAAAGTTCCCTCCCACCTAAAGGCCCCCCCCCCAATCAGGTGCCAGACAAGGGCTGTTAGGTGGCAGGACAAGGGGGACCACAGGAGGCCAGAGGCTCGCGGGGTGACCCTTCTCAAAACGTCCCTCCGGGGCCAGGAACAGTCCCCAAAGGCGGGCCCCACGTGCCCTGTGAATCGGGGAGCTGGGAGCCGGAGCACAGCCCTCTCCCCAAGACCAGACGGAGGGGAAGACCCTTGGGAGCCAACGTCTGCAGCGGCAAAGCTGTCCGGCGAGACTGGGGTTCCCTCTCGGTGTCCCGGGACCCCCTCCAGCCCGGCTGGGGCAAGAACGCGGCCCATTCCCGCCCCAGCCGCAGCCAGGCAGCCTCGGGGGGCCGCCACCCCGAAGGGAGGAGGCGGCGGCTCGCCTCTCCCGGGGCTCCCGCGCCTCCCAGGCGATGACAATTTTCCAGCCACCGGCTCCAGCTGGCCGGGCGCTCGCAGCTCTCCCGCCCCGGCTCCCAGCTCTGGCCACGCCGCCCCGACGGGCGGGTGGCGGCGCCGACAGCGCGCCCCGAAAGGGGCCGCAGGACCGGCCGGTGGTCTCCCGGGGCCCGGCTGCGGGTGGGACGGGGAGGGAAAGGGCCCGAAGGGTGCCACTCACCGGGACCGCGGGGGTCGCCGCCACGTCGGGCTCCAGCGCTCCGGGCGCCGGTGCGCGCTCCCCGCCGCCGCCGCCGCCCCCGGCCGCCGCGAGCCCCCAGTGGCTGGGGCTGGGGCTGGGGGGCAGCCCCGAGTCCGGGCTGTCCAGGACGCCGTCGCCCTTCTTCTTCGTGTCCACGAGCTCGGGCACATCCTGCAGGTTCAGCCGGCCCACCATGGCTGTGCGCGCGGCGGCGCCCGGAGGGGCCGCGGACGAGCGAGGGGCGCAGACGCGGGCCGGGGCCGCTGCCCGCCCGCCGACCGGGTCTGGCCGCCGCCGCGCCCGGGCCCGCCTCCGCCCTCCGCCCCGCCCCGCCCCGCCCGCCCGCCGGGCCGCCCCGCACCGCCGAGCCGCGAGGCCGGGCGCCAGGGGCCGCTGCGCTCCCGCGGAGAGCCGCCCGCCGCCCAGCCCGCCGCCCCGCCCGCCGCCCAGCCCGCCGCCCAGCCCGCCGCCCAGCCCGCCGCCCAGCCCGCCGCCCAGCCCGCCCCGAGCGCGGGTCCCAGCGCGGGAGCCCCTTCCGGCCCCACCACCCGGCCCCCGCCCCGCTGCAGGTGGACGCGAGACCCCACTGGCCCCGGGGTCTGTCCCCTGACCCCTGTCCCCTCGCCCTGCCCCAGCGGGCCCGGCGGGAGCCGATGCCTCCAGCCAGCGGTCTGGGGGAGCCGGAGCAGAGCCGCCTGCAGAGGCGCGGGGAGCCGCCGAACCCAGCGAGCAAACAACTGGAAATTATTAATAGTTAATGCACTTCGTATGGCTCTCGCCGCCTCTTGGCTCAGCAGGGCGGGCTCTGGGGCGTCTCTGGCTCTGGTTTCTGCCCCGCAGGAGAAGGGGGCCTGCTCCCTTGATCCTCGGGGGACGCCCGCGGGGACACATCACTCCCTGGCCGGACGCTCAGATGAACAAGCGGTGGCCACACCTGGCGGCCTGGGACCTCGGTGGTGACCGAGCTCCGCGGGATCCCCAGGAGCTGTCTGAGGGGCCGTGGGCTCGCTAGTGAGGCCCCAGCTCTTCACTCATAGGAGTTCCCCTCTAAAACCCAGACGGGGCGGGGGGGTGGGTCTCCCCTCCTTTTTATTCAACAGAAAGACCCTATCTGAGTGGGCACTCGTTCCAGTAGCTGCCAGCTGTAGACCTGGCTGTCCTCAAACCCACTGCTGTTTCTCACAGAGACCTCCATGATGAGCAGTAAGGATAGGAAGTCCCCACCCTCGCCGGCCCCCACCCCGCCCTAACCTGGGGTTTTGATGTGTGTTCAGCGCACAGCCTCAAGCTGGAGCTATGCCCAGACCTAGCCTGCAGGTGCCAACTCTAAAGAGAAGTCGCGCCCGGGGTTGGGGGACTTCCTGGCTAGATAAGAGGTGGGCTCTGTGCAGGCCCCACGTCGGCAGCCTCGTCTGTGGCCTGCAAAAACAAAGGGTGCTTGTCCTGCTTGCAGCCTGTTAAAGTTAGCCTTTGAGCAGGTAGATGTGGAGGTCTGTTGGCGAAGTGGGGCCCCCTACACTCCCCACTCGTCATTTTCAGGTAAGAAAACAGAGAAGGGACTTACTTGCTTTGCTCCAAATCATACAGTTGGTACAAGGCGGCTTGCCTCGGGTCAGCTCCTCCGCAGAGATAAAACCTGGTTCATGCCTGTGTGCCAGCAGGCCGTTCCTTCATTTAGGGCCCGTGGGGATAGACTACAGAATCACAGTCCTGGATGAAACTGGCCTCCCTACCCCTATGGCTCCCACCATCTGGGCATCCCAGGCTACCCCCAACCTGGGCATCTGGAGGAATCAAGTGCTTCTGGGGTTATGGAAAGAGTGGGAGGACTGGAGGCCCTGGCAGGCACGTGCCCAGCAGCTGACCCTGAGAACTCTACCCTAAGCCTGGCCAGGTGGGAAAGGTATCCAGGAAGATGGTGATTGCTCCAAGGAGGTGGTAGCCTTCAAGGTCACCAGCCCGGAAGAGGAGGAGGAAGACTGAGAGAGGTCACTGTATGGGCCGGTTTCAGCCCCTCTCCGGTGTGGGTTGCCGGAGAGCTTGGGAGGGATCTCCACCTGGATTTGCTAACACGGCGCCCGGGGGTAAGGGGGCCTGGCAACCTGGCACTGCTACCTTCTTAGGGGAGTTTTGAAGGGCTCAGAGCAGTGGTTCTCAACCTTCCTAATGCCGCGACCCTTTAATACAGTTCCTCATGTTGTGGTGACCCCCAACCATAAAATTATTATTTTTAAAATATATTTTATTGATTTTTTTACAGAGAGGAAGGGAGAGGGATAGAGAGTTAGAAACATCGATGAGAGAGAAACATCGATCAGCTGCCTCCTGTACACTCCCCATTGGGGATGTGCCCACAACCAAGGTACATGCCCTTGACCGGAATCGAACCTGAGACCCTTGAGTCCGCAGGCCGATGCTCTATCCACTGAGCCAAACCAGTTAGGGCCATAAAATTATTTTAGTTGCTACCTCATAACTGTAATTTTGCTACTGTTATGAATCGTAATGTAAATATCTGATATGCAGGATGTATTTTCATTGTTACAAATTGAACATAATTAAAGCATAGTGATTAATCACAAAAACAATATGTAATTATATATGTGTTTTCCGATGGTCTTAGGCGACCCCTGTGAAAGGGTCATTCGACCCCCAAAGGAGTCGCGACCCACAGGTTGAGAACCTCTGGCTTAGACGATCCACTTCTGACAAAAGATCAGAGACAGACATCACAGTTGCCAACATGAACAGGGGGTATGAAGCTGCAAGCGTTGGAGGGTCTGGGCAAATCAAAGGGGCATCTTTGAGGCGCCCCCTTTCTCCCTGGCACTGGGGCCATCCAGCAGCATGGGTACCTCGACCCTCCCACTGGACCAGGAAGCACCCACACACTGTCCTCCATCCCATGAAAGTTCTGTCTGATCCCCAAGAACACCCCCCCAACACCAGAGGGCACCTGGCAACCCCTTTGAAGAATGTCTTCAGAGAACATCGCCAGGCCTCAGCTCCTGCAGCAGAAAAGGATCTCCTGCTGCCGCCTCCTTCCTTAGGGGGCCCAGCATGGACACGCAAGAAACTGGAGGAGCATGAAGAGGAATCCAGGCCTGGGACCTGACCTGACAGAGAAGCAGAGGTGGGACCGTGGGCCCCATGAACCCACTCAGGTGCCCCGCCCCCAGTCACCTGCACCAAAGTCTGACCTCCACAGCTCCCAGAATTCTGTAAGCCAATCAAAAGCCAATGAGGAGCCTGGCCAGTGTGGCTCAGTGGTTGGCCGTCGACCCATGCACCAAGAGGTCACCAGTCCCATTCTGGTCAGGCACATGCCCAGGTTTGGGGCTCAGTGCCCAGCAGGGGGTGGGGGTGTACAGGAGGCAGTTGATCGATATTGATGTTTCTCATCGATGTTTCTCTCTCTCTCCCTTCCTCTCTCTCTAAAATCAATAAAAACACATTGTTAAAAAAGACAATAAGGAGAAGCCCCCCAGGTTTGTTCCTTCTTGTCCAGACTGCAATCGAAGAGCTCGGAAACCAGCCTGAACGGACTGAGGCTACATGGGGACCGAAAGGAAGGTGGAAGCGCATCGGCCTGGCCAGGCGCCCTGCCTGTGCGGGCACCTCCACCACGCATGCACTCCTGGTGGAGGTGAGCAGAGGGTTCCCGCAGGAACCATCCAACTCCCACCTGCCCACGTGTCCTCTGTGCCGGACTTCCTTCGTCACTGCGTGGGAGGTGGGCTGTGCTTCTAGTCCTCGGCAATGAGCTCACTTCCCCTGCGGTCCCTGGGAGAGCCTATCACCTGGGCTCCTCACTGTCCTCCATCTTATTCCAGATCGCTTCCCGACAGAGGTAGCTTTTACAAACTCTAACCATGCCCAGCTGGCGTGGCTCAGTGGTTGAGCGTCGACCTATGAACCAGGAGGTCACGGTTTGATTCCCGGTCGGGGTGCATGCCTGGGTTGCAGGCTCTATCCCCTGTGGGGGGCATGCAGGAGGCAGCCGATCAATGAGTCTCTCTCATCATTGATGTTTCTATCTCTCTCTCCCTCTCCCTTCCTCTCTGAAATCAATTAAAAAAAAAAAAAAGAAAGAGTGTCCTCTTCTCCAAGCTGTGCTTTCAGAGCAGCCACTGTCCCCCGGCCTGGATCACAGCGACCGGTGTCCTATAGGACTCGGCTTCCGGCTTGAGGCCTTTCCCAGCAGGGTCTGAGGAGCACAAGATGCCTGACCATGGATGCCAGTCCTGCCGTTTCCCTTCTTCTGCACCAGGTTAAGCTGATGCCTAAACAGGCGTTGAGTCAGACAAGAACAGGGCAGGACCCCCACACGGCTGCTGCTTATTGTTTCAGAACAGCTTGCCTTCAGTCAACACAGCCAGCCAGGGGGTTAAAACGCTGCCGGCTCCGGCCTGCTGGCCGCCACGCAGCTGTGCCACGGCGCCTTGCGGGGCATTTGCCTCGGTGCTGAATCAAGCCCCCTTTCCTTCCTATGCACCGTGTCACCCAAAACGCTCTGAGTAACTGCATTTTGTGTCCTTAAGCATTTTAAGATTAAGGTTATAGCTTTCAAAGAGCATTGAAAGGGATCTACCATATTCAATAAAGAAAGGAACTGACTAGAAAAAATGTGCTTGGCCCAGCCCGCATGACTCAGTGGTTGAGCATCGACCTATGAACCAGGAGCTCTCAGTTCAATTCCTGGTCAGGGCCCATGCCCAGGTTGCAGGTTCAATCCCCAGGGTGGGACGTGCAGGAGGCAGCCAATCAATGACTCTCATCATTGATGTTTCTCTCTCTCACTTCCTCTCCCTTCCTCTCTGAAATCAATAAAATATATTGATTTTATAGAGCCAAGGGCTTGGCAGTTTCAGAGGGAAGTGGGCCTGGGAAACAGGTCAGGGGCAGAGATGGGGTCTGGCCCAGCCCAGCTGGCAACACTGACCCAGATCCCTAATGCAGCTTAGGGTGAAGTCAGGCCGATGTCCCCAGTGTGGGAGCCCCATGACCCCAAAAACAGGCTCCACCCTGGAGGCCTCCTATTTGTAAGCTGAGAGCTATTCTCCCACATGCTCCCTGGTTACACAGAAAAGGGCTGTGGCCTCTGCAAAATAAAACCCAGATGGGATTTTGCAAAGAGCTGGGGCACATGGCCTCCTTGGAACTGCATCCATGCACTTGCACTCCTGGCTCCGTCCTGCATATTCACACTGCACGAGGACTCGCAGCCCAGAAAAATAGCCTTCAGTTGAGCAATTGAAGTTAAGACCCTTGGCTCCTGGGCTGAAAGGCGTGATA